TCACGGCCCCGACGGCGCGGAGGAATTGGGGCGCCGGCGGCCCCGTGGTGAGTGCTCCGGTGCCGGGTGCGGGGGGCTGCCCCTGGGACTCCAACACTTGGCTTGGGAACCCTCTTGGCCAGTCGGCTTAGGGGGAGGCTGTCTCGGTTCCCCTTGGGGGCTCCCGGGTCTAGATGAAAGGTAGGCGCACAGGGGGCGTCTGGAGGTTGGGAAGCCCCCTGGAGGGCTGTGGAGGGAGAAGCAGCAGGATCACGGGTCACGGGGCCTGGGAATGAGGAGGCCAGGCTCCAGGTCTCAGCGGGGCCTCCTCTCTCCTGGCCTCAGTTTCCCCATCCATCTTTACCATGCCTGTAAGAGGGTGGGTGCAGACGAGGGTGCCCGGACGGTCTCTAGCGCTTCCTGCTGCTGGGTATCTCTCATGGGGGTCTCTTGCCTCCTCCTCTCCCTTGGGGGCTGCAGAGACCTCTGCTCACCCCCATCCCTGCCAGAAAGGCCCACACCCGGGCCTGTCCAGCATCACACCCTCTGTGGCGGGGGCCCTCTCCTTTGCTCCTCAAGTTGGGGAGCAGCCATCTGGTCCTACTTGCTTTCTAGCAAACTGAAAAGCCCCCAAGTCCACTTGGGGGTCCCACAGCTGGACCCCTGGCTCTGAGTTGGCTCTGGTGTCTCTCTCTCTTCCTGAGCCCCAGGGCTTCTCCCCGTCCTGGCCTTGGTCTCCCCGTGGGCTGTTCCCTGGCCACAAGTTTCCTGCTCTGTAAAGGGCAAAAGCCTCCCATGTCACCTGTCCCCTGACTCTTGATGAAGAAGACCAGAGTGACATTCCCACTGCCTCTGCTCTGCTGTCCCAGTCACTCCACCCCGAAGTCCCCTTTGCCAGTCTCAGGCTGGAAGGGACCCCATGCAGCCCACCCAGGTCCCACCCAGTGCTCTGTGTGCCCTGGCGGCGAGCTCGTCCCCCACGGGCGCCTGCACCCTGGTCCCACCCAGTGCTCTGTGTGCCCTGGGGGCGAGCTCGTCCCCCACGGGCGCCTGCACCCCGGTCCCACCCAGTGCTCTGTGTGCCCTGGTGGCAAGCTTGTCCCCCTCGGGCACCTGCCGTTCAGTCCCCTGTGGCGGGGCGGGCTTCCCCCCCGGGCGCCTGCACCCCGGTCCCACCCAGTGCTCTGTGTGCCCTGGTGGCAAGCTTGTCCCCCTCGGGCACCTGCCGTTCAGTCCCCTGTGGCTCGTGTTTCACTCAGCTATGCTCTGTGGTTTGTCGATTCTGCCCCTGGCTTCCACTTCTGCCTCCTGGAACCATGCAGAGTAAATCCATTCTTTTATTCATTCAAACAATCTCTGTCGATGCACCAGGTGAGACTCTGGAGATATAGCACAAAAAAAAAAAAAAATCCCACAAAACTCCCTGCCCTCATGGGGTTCATATTCTAATAAGGCAGGTGAGGGAGGTGGGGTTTTGGGATTCAGGGTTGGCCTCTCTGAGATGGTGACAACTGAGCGAAGGAGGTGCAGGGTGACTGTCTGGGGGAAAGGACAGTGTACACACACAGGGAAGGGCATGTGCAAAGGCCCTCAGGCAGGAGCATGACAGGCAGGAGCAGGTCCGGCTTGTTCTGGGAACAGGAGGGGCCAGCGTGGCTGGAGGAGGGTAGGTGAGGAGCCAGTGGGAGAATGTCAGGGGCGGGGAGGCGGGGCCCACAGCCTGGGGCCCGAAGGCCACTCTGAGGGTTTTCCGTCTGAGTGCATTGAGAGCCACAGAGGGCTTTGAGCAGAGGAGCCACCTGCTCTGTCTGACTTAGGGCTTAGCAGGTTTAGCTGGCTGTGGGCGGGAGAATGGGCTGTAGGGACATTGAGAGCGGAAGGGGGAACCAGTGAGGGGAGCACTGTTGTCATTCTGGGGAGAGGCCATGCGGGCTTATACTCCGCCCCGCCCCCTCCATGGCATAGAGGTGTAAAATATCAGATTGGGGCCATCTTGTGAAGGGCGGGCAGGTAGGACTTGGGATGCGAGAGAAAGGGAGATTGGAGGACCAAGCAGGTTGTTTTGGCCTGAGCACCCGGAAGTTGGGAGCTGCCCCCGACTGGGATGGGAGCTGCTTAGGGGGAGGGGCTGGGGTTTGGCTTGGTGCTCGCTGAGTGTGAGATGCGCATTAGGCAGTGGAGATGTCCAGGAGGCAGCTGGGAAAAGTGTAGTGGGGAGGTGAGAGCCGGAAATAAACTTTTGGACGGCATCTCCATGTAGTGGGCATTTTAAGCTGTAAAAGCAGGTGAGTTCGCTTAGGGAGAGAGTGATGCAGAGAGGAGAGGTGCACGCGGGGAGCCCTGGACTAGCTGGGGCGACAGAAGGAGCCACGGGAGGAAACATCAGAGGGTGACTGTCCTGGATGGGGACGCGGGAGGCACTGCGAGGGGTCAGGACGGGGGGAGCAACGGGTACTGAGAATCAAACAGTGCAGAGGTCCCTGGCTGGGAGGGGAGGACTTGGGGACAGCAGTAGGACAATGGATAAGGCGTCTTGCTGCGAAGGGCGGAGGAACTAGATTGAAACCCTGGAGGGAAGGGGGTGTGGAGACAGGGATTTACTTTTGGGGCAACTTAGGGTCTGTTTGTGGGCTCTTGGGAAGTGCTGTCCTGGAGAGAAGCTTGGCGAAGGGGCCAGATGGAGGATGGCCGCCAGCGGTGAGGGGACGGATCCAGTGTCCCAGGGGAGGCTTGGCCCCAGCCGAGAGCCGGGACCGTTCTGAAGTCGCGCCGCCCAGGTCCACCCTCCCCGCCCTGGCTGCTGGGACCCAGCAGCCTTCGCGTCCGGCATGTAGCTGGCTCAGGGCCCCGAGAAACCAGCCTGGTTGTCTTCTCAGCAAGGAAGGGGGTGTCAGGGACTGGGCCTGGGCTCGGGGACAAGAGAGGGGCCTCTTGAGTTGCCCCTTTTGCTTGACCCTCTGTTTCAGCAAGGAGAGCCCCTTCCTCTGCATGCTTGGGCCTCACCTTCCTTGAAAAGAGACTGAAATGACTCCAGAATTGTAGTTACTGAAGCAGAGAAGAAAAGGCCGTGGTAACAGACTGACGCATTCCGCCCGAAGGGGAAAGCGTGATAAAGGCAGGCGGTAAAGGCAGGATTTTAGGGACAGTGTTTATTAAATAGGGGATGTATGGACATCTGTGTTCTTTCTCTCTCGATTTAAACTGAAGCAGAAGAACTTAAGTTAGACATAAGAGGCCCTTGCTGACCTGGTCCGTGAGGACAGCAGCAAAGCCAGGTCCTCCCTCTTGGATGTTTAGGGAAAGGTAGGACAGCTCAGAGACAGGAGGCTGGCAGAATTGGCCCTTGGGGAGTCTCCCTGCTCTGAGGTGTCCTGAAGAGGCCCAGGGCAGAGATGGGACTTTCCAGCTGCTGGCGGGAGGACAGAGCACCAGACCGCGTGGCTCGGCTCTGCCTCTCCTTCCTGGTGTCCACAGAGCCCCGATGTCACTAGTTGTGCGTGTGGGGCTTAAGCGGCCGTCTGCTGCCCCAAACTAGGTGTGTTTGGGAAGTGGCCCGCTTACTCGAAGCTTGTCCCCTGGTGGATGAGCACGTCTGTGGCTGTGTCTCAGGTCCCCATGAGTGCAGGTCACGGTGGATGCACAAGCTTCGTGCCAGTATCTCCAAGAAGTACCCAGTTCTGGACGTCTGGTTGGCTGGCTCGGGCTTCCTGCCCAGCCTTTTGGGGTTTCCCCTGGCAGATATAGGCCTGTCAGTCCTGTGTCACTCGGCCTTGCCCTTCCTGCTCCAGGCCTGTCCCAGATGACTTGGCTGCGCCCGCTCTGCCAAGCCTGATGAGCTCTGATAAGGGAGGGAGGGTCCAGGCTCTTCAGCTCTTCAGCCAGAGGAAGAAGCCGCTGTCCATTCTTGGGCATCCCCTGGTGAGAGGAGCAGGCATTGTCTTATCTCAGCTTTGCAGCTTCGTTAACTCCTAGCTGTCCATGTGCCCTCCACATGTCGGTCCAAGGAGCGTGCCGACCCCATTTCTGGGCTGTTGGGCTGTTCCCTGAGGGAGGGGTGGGGGATTCTTTTCCCTAGGACCCGGGCCAGGGCGCCGGTGCCGGAGGTGGTGGGGCCACAGCCGGGAACCACTCCAGGGCCAAAGCCCAGAGCTCTTCGTGCCGCCTTCCTCCCCGCCCCGCCCCCCCACCCCTGCCCTCTTGACCCGTCTGCTTGGCACTGGGCACGGGGAGGAAGCCAGCTTGGCCAGAGAGAACTGTTTCAGATCCCAGTTTACTGCGGCCTCTGCACTGGGGATGATGTCCCCGCAGCTGCCACACGCATGGGTGACCTCGCCGCCTCCGTTCCCTCATCGGGCCGCACAAAGTTTCCGGCCTAAGCGTCGGCAGCATCTGAGGACGGGCACAGAATGTTCCAGGCCCTCCCCTCCCTCCGTGGGGTTTTGATTCATGAACATTCCCACTGTGTTTTCCAGGGCTCCGCCCTGTGCCAGGCTTAGAGATGCCAGGACGAGAAAGACCGAGGCTTTGACTCAGGCCACGAAGGAGGGTGACACACAGACAACCGCAAGGAAAGCTGTGAAATCCCCGGGCTCCTTGGCATCGGGAAGCATCCCTGCTTAAGAAACAGAAGCAGGCATGCCTCCTCCTCTTCCAAGCCTGGGCCCTTTCACTTTCATTTTGGTCTGGGCACCCTGTGACACCAGAACCCTGTGACAGTCGCAGCACGGACTCTGCTGAGAGAGTCTCCGCCGTTTGGGGACCCTCCCCGGCCTTGAAGCTCTGAGAGGTTGCGTCCCCTCGCTTCCCAGAACCCAGAGGCTGAGGGCTGAGCCCCGATCCAGCGTGGACAGAGGCGACAGCCTGTAATGTGTGTTGCGGGGGCCGGGGGGGAGGGTCTGGGGCGGTGGGGGAGGCCGCGGTGATGACCGGGGTCTATGCGCCCGTGAGCTTTCCAACTGCATAGTTTGCTTCGCTGGGTGGGGCTCTTTATAGCAGCGTTCTGGGTCTGCCCCTTGGGGTGGCAGAGGATTACCTACACAGGCAGGGGCTCGGGGGCGCGTGTGGGGAACGCAGATATAGAGGAGTTGAGGGCGTGCTGCTTCTGGAGCTGCGGTCCTTGGGTTCAGATCCCAGCCCCACCGCATCTAGACGACAGCCCTTGTGCAGGTCGCTTAGCCTCTCTGCACCTCAGTTTCTCATCTGTAGCCGGGGGCTGATCACAGCATCTGCTTCCGAGAGGATGGGAGCGGTAAGCGAATGCATACAGCAGCGCATCTGGCGTGGTGCCCGGCACGCCGGATGTGCCCAGTGAATATGAGCCGTATGGAAGAGAGCGCTGCTGTGGCCTGAATCCAGCCAGCACCCGCTCACCTGCCTCGCGGATCCCTCGGGAGACACTAATTCCCAGATCCCTTGGGAGGCATGACTCTCGCTATCGGCCCCAAACTGTTAAACCTCTTAATTCAGGGATAAAACATGGGTATGGGCACCAGGGGTCTTGACTTGACTCCTTACTGCTTCAGACTCTCTGCGGCACCTTGAGCCAGTTCCTTGTCTTCTCCGGGCCTCAGTTTGTACATTTGTCTGACAGGGAGCTTGGGTTGGGTGGTGTCTGCGGGTGCAACCACGGCTAGCTCGGACTTGGGTGGAGCTGGCGGGCCCCCTGCACTGCCTCCGCCCCCGCCTGCTTCCGGAGAAGTCGTGCACTGACCTCGCTCTCGTCCCCAGGTTGTGAAATGTGCGCGCAAGAGGCTTTCCAGGCACAGAGGAGCCAGCTGGTGGGGCTGCTGGTCTCGGGGTCCCTGGAGGGCTTCGAGAGTGTCCTGGACTGGCTGCTCTCCTGGGACGTCCTCTCCTGGGAGGACTATGAGGGCCTCAGCGTCCTGGGCCAGCCCCTCTCCCACTTGGCCAGGCGCCTCCTGGACACTGTCTGGAACAAGGGTGCCTGGGCCTGTGAACAACTCCTCGCAGCTGTGCAGGAGGCCCGGGCCGACAGCCAGTCACCCAGGCTGCATGGCCACTGGGACCCCCACTCATCCCACCCCGTCCGCGACCTGCGGAGTCACCGGCCAGCCATCGTCAGGAGACTCTACAGCCACGTGGAGGGAGTGCTGGACCGGGCCCAGGAGCGGGGTTTCGTCAGCCCGTACGAATGTGACGAAATCAGGTTGCCCGTCTTCACGTCATCCCAGCGGGTGAGGCCCTTCCGTCTTGAGTCATCAGAATTCTCGGGAAAGGGGTGCCGCTTTGTCACCAGGAATGATTTGTCTTTGTGAACTCAGTGCTATGGGGAGGCATGGGATACCCCCTGCGGAGGCAGCCAGGCGGGTAAAAGTTGCTCTGAGATTCGGTATCACACCACTTCTCATGAGAGGAAGTGTCGCCTGATGGCCAAGGGCTGCTTCCCCAGGGATGACACAGGCTCAGGCCAGCCCTGTGTGACGGCAGGCCTCTCCCTGGAAACTCTCTCTCCTTAATCTCTCCTGCCTCAGTTTCCTCATCTGTAAGGTCCTTGGGAGAATTCAGTGAGTCGATTTGTGTAACACTTCGGACAGCGTCAAGCACATAGTAGGCGCTCGTGAACATTACTACTGGCTGCTATCAAGTCTGTTATCGTGGTATTTCACACTGCACACTTTTCCTGCCTTCTGTTTTCAGCTAACAGTTCAGCAGATCATAAAAATTCATTAACTTAAATCTGCATTTAATAATTAATGTAGCACACTGTGTACTAATATAATTTAAATGCCCACATAGGATTTCTGATGTGAAATTGCATTAGACCATAGATACCCGAAGTAGGAATAAAACTCCCTCTGAAAATTCCATTCTTTAAGAACACAGAAGTGTCTGTTGGGTATTTTTGAAACCCTCTGGGTTATTTATCCCCAAACGGTGACCCGCGGACCTCCTGTCATTAACATCCCACTCTATACATTGGGAAATTGGGGCCCAGAAAAGTGGTTTGCGTATGCTCACAGTAGTTAATGAGAGGGCCAGTGCTGGACCTGGCACCTTGACCCAATCATTCGTCATTCATTGACTCATTCATTTATTCAGCCAGAATCTCTTTAGATGCCTACCACATAGCACGCTCTGTCTTAAAGCTTATTGTGCTCAGAGTGCCTTGTGTATAATAAGTACTCAGTAAGTGGTTGTTGAGGAAGTACCTGAATTATTGAATCAATGAATTGGAATTACATTGCAGTGTTAGGATGGGCTGGATTGCGAGACTTGTAAGTTTTTATTTTTGCCTATTTTGAAAAAAAATGTATCGGTGCCCAAGTGAGTTTAGATAAACCTACGCTGAGACCGACAGAAAAAACCAGTCTGTCTTCAATGGTGTTTCAAAGCTGACTTAGGGTGACCAAGTACTCACAGAGCAGACATGGTGTGGTCCCCTCTCATTAGCACATGCGAAACCTACAGTTGTACCCCGAGTGCCAACTTCTTGAGCCTGGCTCTGTGGGGATTACAGTAGACAGGTTAGTTATTGTACCTACGTTGGTGTTGTTTGTGATTTGCTGGTGGTGGGGTGGGGGTTATTGAAATAGCTCACATAGAACGTGACAGGGTTTGTGTCTCGTCATTTTTGATCAAGTGTTCAACAGTGTGGTCGCTCTGGATGCTCTGAGGGGTTTAGAGAAGGCAGCCTAGAAGCCGAGGGCCTGGAGGAGACAGGACATGAATAGAGGACGCATTTGGATTGACTGAAGAAAAGAAAACAGGATAACTCATGAGTCAAAGAAGAAATCACAAGTGGAAATCAGAAAATATTCAGAACCAAACGATGATGAAAATATGATTTATAGAAATTTACGGGGTACGGCTAAAGCAGAATGCAGAGGGATGTTTATAACCTTCAATGCTTATTTTAGGAAAGAAGAAACGCTGTATTTAAATGAGCTGTGAGTCTATTTTAAGAAAGGGCTAGAGAGACGGCAGACAGGTCGAGCGCTGGGAGCGAGCTGAGCACGTAGAAAGGATGGGACGAGAGAGCTGAGGATCATAGCAGTTTACAAAGGGTCTGGGCTGTCTGAGGTTTAAGTTTTTAGAATCCAGCTTTCTCTGAGCTTCCTTTGAGCTCTGGCCTTCTATAATTCTCTAACTCAGTAGCCTTCCCTTAGTGGCAGAATTTCTGATTCCGTGTGGGCGGCACTTGTGTTATGTCCAACTCACGTACCCCCTCCAATCCAGGACTGTCTTGTACATTCTCATAAACTGACCTTGTTTATTTGCTAGAGAGGTGGTGATCATGGATTGCAGGTCGGGGCCTGGAAAATGCTATGGAATAAAACAGAATACCCTAAAATACCCATTGCTACTATTTGCCGAGTGCGTGGTTCTTGTGTTCCAGGCACCCTCTTCATTTATTATCTCATTTAAGCCACATAGCTACCTCCCAAGGGGGTAGTGTGGCTATACTACTTCTTTGCAATGAAGAAACTGCTGAAATCACCCATCTGGGAAGTGGCCCAGGTAGAATTTGAATCCAGGCCCATTTGTCTCCAAAGCTTGTGCTCTTCTCTCTGTGTCATGAACTGTGGGGCCTTCATGTAGTAAACTTGCTCAGCTGGGCCTAATGGTGGTTAGCAAACCTGAGGCTACACCATCTGTAACACCAGCTGCCATCTGACGCACACAGCTGCTGAAGTTGGTAGGGCCAGGATGTCAGACTGATTGCTCGGCCCCTTCACAGTATTAGCTTAAACATTTTTTAACTTGGGAAAGGGACCATGCCGACAGAAAAGTATACGATTTCATATGGTACGGTATAAACATGCGCCTTCCTATCACCCAGGTGAAGAAGTAGAATGTTACCAGTACCTGTACTGTTTCCCTCAATTGGTACTCAGTAGCCTGACTTTTGCATTAATCATTTCTTTGCTTTTCTTTAAAGTTTCAATACCTTATAAAATAAATCCCGAATGATATATTGTTTTGTTTTCAAAAACGGAGTAGCAAGCACAATCATAGCTGTGTCAGGACAGGGCAGTATTGCCTTTCCTTCTTGGACAAAGGCTCCCAGGAGCAGAGAAGCTGAATAGGGTCTCAGGGATACTGTCTGGCTGCACCTTCTCTGGGAGTATATAAGGTCCCCTTCCGGGAAGTCAGTGGGCAAGGTCATGCACGAGTCCTGGGAAATACAGGAGTCACCACAGCGAGCGGATCTGGTAGGGCAGGTGTGAGTCAGAGGCTGGATGTCAGGAATTTGGTCAGAGAAAGTGGGCTGTTCTGGATGTTCAGTCGTAAACTTGACCAAGGCTCTTCCAGCCCCCAGGAATAGGGCTAAACACTCTGTGGGGTGAAATGAGGCCCTGTTGACTCAGGCAGCAGGCCTTGAGGGAAAGGATGACAGTAGCCTGTGATGCAGATCGGCAAATGCAGATAAGGATGATAGCATGGACATGAGAAGATAACGGCCCTCAACGTGTCTGAGTCTTGAGTCACCGCTGTGATCCATCTGGACCGGCGGCAACCTACTTGTAGCTTAGGACCATCATCCTGAGACTTCCCGTCATAGTCCTCCTGTATCCTGAAACATATGTGTTCCTTTTTCTTGGTTTGCTCTATTTTGGTAGATTCTGTCTTCTGGGCCAGTTCTTTAGAACGAATGTATGGGAGTATGTGAATTTCTAAGCTCTTATATGTCTTGAAGTTCCCGTGTATCTGGTTGATTGTTTGGCTAGGTGTAAAATTCTGGGTTGGCCATCATTTTTCTTCAGAATTTTGAGAGCATTACTCCCGCATCTTCTCCCTTCCAGAGTGGCTGGAAGAACTCTGAAACCATTTTATCACTCTTCCCGGAAGCTCGTGAACTTTTCTTTTGGTCTCTTACATTCTGAAATTTCACAATTATGTGCCTTGGTGTTCTTCCGTTGTGCTGAGCGCACAAGAGGTACTTTGAAGAGGGAAACGCATATCTTTATGTCCTGGAAAATGTTCTCAATTAGTTGGTTTCTTCTTATTTTCTCTTTTATGGAACTCCTACTGTTTCAGTTTTAGAACTCCTCGACAGATCCTCTAATTTTCTTCTACTTCTTGTCAAATTTCCATGTCCTTTTGTTCTGCTTCCTGTTCGATATCTTCAACTTTATCTTTAAACTCTTGAATTTAAAAAATTTTTGCTATCATCCTTGTAATTTCAAAGAGCTATTTTTCAATGTTTCTTATTATAGCATCCTGTTCTTGTTTTATGGCTTGGAGTGCGTAAGAGGAGCCAGAGGCCTGTTTCATAAAGCACTTTGTCTCAGCCCCACTTAATTTAATCAATTCCTTCAGTTCCAGAGGTACTTGGGGGCTCTAAGTTCTAGAGATGTTTACAAATTCTGAGACGTATATTGTGTGGTTTTTACCCTGCCTGTCGTTGGCTTAGGATTCGGCTTTCTGGCCCTTCTCAGTCTATTATTATTCATTCATTTAGCAAGCCCTTGAGTGCCTACTCTGTGCCAGGAGCTCTTCTAGGTGTTGGGGATGCTTCAGTGGGCAAAATGGATATGAATCCTTGTCATGGAGACGCTCACATTCCAGTGGGGGGAGATAGACAGTAAGCAAAGGGAAGCAAGTGACAGAGTATGTTAGAAGGTGGCACATGCTGTAGAAAATAGAGTCTGGAGATTGAGAGTTGCAGGGGGCGGAGGGTAAGCGATTGCAGTTTTAAATAGAACGGTCGGGAAGTTCTCACTGAGAAGGCGGAATCTGAGCAAAGACTTGAGGGAGGTGAAGGAACCTCGTGTGAGCAGCTGGGGGAAAGGCAGCCCGGCCAGAGGAGGCAGCCGGGGCAAAGGCCCGGAGGTCAGAGTGTGCTTGATGTTTCCAGAAAGCCTGAGGCCAGTGTGTTGCGTGGAATAAGAAAGGTGAAGAGTAGGAGATGAAGCCAGGGAAAGCGCCAGGGTCCAGACGGTTGTAGACACAACTTTTGTCTGTTCAGGGCCTCGTATGTTACCACTGGACTTGGGCCTTTACGCTGAGAAAATGGCAGAACTCTCGGGACATTCGTAACAGTAGAGGTGTGATCCGAATGGAAAAAGAAAACACTTTTATTTTAAAAGATCTACTCTTGGCTGTGGTGTAGATCAGGGCTGGAAGCAGCGAGGCGAGTCAGGCCTTCGCGATTGTCCAGGTGAGCCGTGATGGCGGCTTGGACCAGGTGGTGGTGGAGGAGGTGAGGAGAAGGGCCGGGCTCTGTAGCTGTGGGTCCAGTGTGGTCAACACTGGCCACGTGTTGCCCGTGAGCACGTGAAACTGACTGGTCCACAGTGAGATTCTGCGAGGGCACAGCACACACCAGGTTTCAAATGCTTAGTATGGCAAAAGAATGCCAGATACCTCGGTATTTCATCCTGATTACGTGTTGAAATGGTAATCTTTTAGCTAGATTGGGTTAAATAAAATATCCGATTAAAATGAATTTTATCTATTTTTTTTTTTACTTTTAAAAAATGTGGCTATTAGAAGATTTAAAATGACATATGTACGTATCTTGCATTACATTTCTGCTGGCCTTTGCTGTTCTGAATATACTTTGACGGTGGAGCCAACAGGATGTGCTGCTGGATTGCAGAGAGCCATCGAGGATGACTCCCAAACTTTAGGGCTGAGCAGCTGGAAGGTGGCATTAGCCGAGACAAGGAAGGCCGTAGGTTGTGTGTGTATGGGTTTAGTTTTGGGTATGTATAAGTTGGAGGCATTATTAGACACCTACGTGGAGATGGCGAGTAGGCAGTTAGATGTGCATGTTTGAGGTTCAGGGGCGTTGTTCAGCTTGGAGATGAAAACTGGGGAGTCAAGTGCAGGGATGGTATCTCAGGCCATAAGATTTGATTAAATCGGCTCTCTCCAAATGATTTCCAGCTTCCAGAATGGTTTTTCCTATCCTCGTGGGTTATGGATTTATGTCTTTTTTTTTTAGTTATTCACTCTTTCAGTGGGTCTCGAGAGGGATGTGTCTGTTCAACCATTCATTTACTTCACCACCCAATTGTGTACTGACTTCTCTAAACATGTTTTCATTTGGCTGTTCTTCTGGCCTTTTCTGGAAGAGAGTTGCCTAATGAGACACCTTCGCTCGCGTCTCCATCAGCCTTTCTGGGGAAAATAATGACTTTTCTTTCCCCGTAGGCGAGAAGGCTCCTCGACCTTGCCACCGTGAAGGTGAATGGATTGGCTGCCTTCCTTCTACAGCATGTTCAGGAATTACCAGTCCCGACGACCCTGCCTTTCGAAGGTATAGATATATTCTTCGTTCATCAGACAAGGAAAGAAAGGCAGAGGAGATTCACGGTTAAGAGCAGAATCTCCAGGGCGAGACACATTTGTTACAATCCCACTTACTGGCTGTGCAAGCCTGAGACCCAGTTTTCTCATTTTGGGGAGAAGACCACCACTGTGTCACCGGGCTGTTGGGAGGGTTAACAGGATGAATGTGTACAGCAGGGTCGGCTTTGATGACTTCCAGCCCCGCAGAACGGTTACCGGGGCTACCGCGTATTGAAGGCTGACCCTATGTGCCACACTGTCATTATCTGTACCAAAAAGATGTGAGTAGGGCTAGTATCTCTTTTCTTTTTAAATCTACTTTGCAATTACAGTTGACCGACAATATTATATGAGTTTCAGGTGTACAACATAGTGATTAGACATTTTGTATACTTCATGAAAGGCTGGTATCTCTCGATCTCTGCCATTGAGCTACTGTCAGAAACGCAACAACCAAATGGCTTCAGGGAACGTGGTGTCTGTCATTGCACACGGTCACCAACCCAGCTCAGGCACGAGAGGGGCTCGGACATCCCAGGCATCCTACCTGGTCGGGGGGGCAGTGAGGCCGTGACGGGGTGAACCGGGCTCTGAGGTCCCGCCACCCTGGGCCTTGGTCCACCACTTCCCCATTTTCTGAAAGGAGAACCCACCCCTGACACCGAAAGTGGTCTGCCGAGATCGATGTGGGGATGACCACGGACAGGCAGCAGAGCCGAGGACATACCCTACACGTGGGGACGCGTCCCGCAGAAGGTGGCACGAAGAGCATGAGGAAGTGGCTTTGGTCAAGAGGTCTCGTCCAAGGGCTGACCCAGGCACCCCAGTGACCCCGAGGTCATCCAGCGCTTGGCCCACCGGATAACCCAGGATAAGCTCCCCATGCCTTTAATTTAATCACGTCCGTCCAGTCTATTTTACAAGAATAGTAACATGTTCACGGAATCTGAGGATTAGAATAGAGACATCTTTGGGGCGCCATTGTCGCACCCATCACACCCACTAATAATAATGATAAACACCATTTTTGAAAGTTTACCACGTCAGGGATTCTTCTCACCTCTGTCTCGTTTCCTCTTGAAACAGTCCCTCAAAATGTAGATTTGCCCCATTTTTACCGAGGCCAGAAGAGCTAAGTGGCTTTTGCCCAAACTAATGTGAACCTGGGTTTTAAGCTCAGGTGTGTCTGACTTCAGAAACTGGGCTCCTAAGCCTTCACACCTTGTTCCCCTTTGGGAAGATGCACCTGAGGCTGCGTGGGGAATGGGCTTACCGCAGGCCCTCAGTCAGTATGGGGAGCAGATATGGATGCGAGTCCCCCGACCCCAGCCCCGCGCCCCTTCCAGTCTGCAGCCCCTCCTGGCATCAGGGGTCAATAATCGCACTAGCTAATGTCTCTCGAGCACTTACTTCGTGTTGGACACTGAATGAAGCACTTGACATGCATTATCTTAATTGATCCATCTCAAAACCTCCACCCACAGGGGAGGAAACAGGCTTAGGAACGTTATGCGACTGTCCTCAGGGTCCGCAGCTTGTGCTTGCAGAGCTGTCTGTTCTCTCCCATCCGTGAGGTCACACCACCCCACGCAGCCCTGTGTCAGGTCCCGTCTTCCGCATGGTCCCACGTCGTCCGTCCCCTCCTCTGTCTTCCAGATGCTGCATGTACGAAGTACATGGCCAAGCTGAGGGCCACGGTCTCTGCTCAGTCTCGCTTCCTGAGCACCTACGATGGGGCAGAGAATCTTTGCCTGGAGGAAATATACACAGAGAATGTTCTGGAGATCCGGACAGAGGTGGGCACGGCTGAGCCCCTACAGAAGAGCCCGGCCACTCTGGGCCTGGAGGACCTCTTCAGCACCCGTGGCCACCTCAACGAGGACGCGGACACCGTGCTGGTGGTGGGCGAGGCGGGCAGCGGCAAGAGCACGCTCCTGCAGCAGCTGCACCTGCTGTGGGCCACGGGGCGGGACTTCCAGGAGTTTTTGTTCGTCTTCCCGTTCAGCTGCCGGCAGCTGCAGTGCATAGCAAAGCCTTTGTCCGTGCGGACGCTGCTCTTTGAACATTGCTGCTGGCCTGACCTTGGCCAACAGGAGGTCTTCCAGTTCCTCCTGGACCACCCCGACCGCGTGCTCTTAACCTTCGATGGCTTTGACGAGTTCAGGTTCAGGTTCACGGACCGTGAGCGTCACTGCTCCCCGACCGACCCCATGTCGGTCCAGAATCTGCTGTTCAACCTTCTGCAGGGCAACCTGCTGAAGAACGCCCGCAAGGTGTTGACCAGCCGTCCGGCCGCCGTGTCCGCGTTCCTCCGGAAGTACGTGCGCGCGGAGCTCGCCCTCAAGGGCTTCTCGGAAGACGGCATCGAACTGTACCTGCGGAAGCGCCATCGCGAGCCGGGGGTGGCCGACCGCCTGATCGGCCTGCTCAAAGCGACCTCAGCCCTGCACGGTCTGTGCCACCTCCCCGTCTTCTCGTGGATGGTGTCCAAATGCCACCAGGAACTGTTGCTGCAGGGCGGAGGGTCCCCCAAGACCACCACGGACATGTACCTGCTGATCCTGCAGCACTTCCTGCTGCACGCCGCCCCCCCAGACTCAGCCCGTCAGGGTCTGGGACCCAGCCTGCTTCGAGGCAGGCTCCCCACGCTCCTGCACCTCGGCCGCCTGGCTCTCTGGGGCCTGGGCATGAGCTGCTACGTGTTCTCCGCCCCGCAGCTCCAGGCGGCGCATGTCGACAGCGAGGACGTTTCTCTCGGCTTCCTGGTGCACGCCAAAAGGGGTGCGCCCGGGAGCACAGCCCCCCTGGAGTTCCTGCACATCACGTTCCAGTGCTTCTTTGCCGCCTTCTACCTCGCACTCAGTGCTGAGCTGCCGGCGTCCTTGCTCAGACACCTCTTCGGTGGTCGCCAGCCGGGGAGCTCGCTGCTGGCCAGGCTGCTGTCCACGCTGTGCGTGCCCGACTCGCGATGCGAGGAGGCCAGTGTGGCCGCTTTGCTGCAGGAGGCGGAGCCACACAACCTGCAGATCACAGCAGCCTTCCTGGCAGGGCTGGTGTCGCGGGAGCACCGGGTCCTGCTGGCCGAGTGTCAGGCGTCCGAGAAGGCCCTGCTGCGGCGCCAGGCCTGTGCCCGGAGGTGCCTGGCCCGCAGCCTCCACGAACACTTCCATACCATCCCACCGGCCGTTCCGGGCGAGGCCAAGAGCATGCACGCCATGCCGGGGTTCGTCTGGCTCATCCGGAGCCTCTATGAGATGCGGGAGGAGCGGCTGGCGCGGGAGGCCGTGCGTGGGCTGAACGTCGGGCACCTCAAGCTGACCTTTTGCGGCGTGGGCCCTGCCGAGTGCGCGGCCCTGGCCTTCGTGCTGCGCCACCTCCGGCAGCCCGTGGCCTTGCAGCTGGACCACAACTCCGTGGGCGACGTGGGCGTCGAGCAGCTGCTGCCCTGCCTCGGCGTCTGCAAGGCTCTGTAGTGAGTATCACCGGGCCGCGCTGGCCGGGCACAGTGGGGCCGCCCCCATTGGGGTGCAGGTGCGGGAACACCGTGCTGGGATCCGGGAGATCAGGCCCGGTTCCTTCCGTGCAGGCCTGGCCGGGTCCCTTCCCCAGTCTGAGCCTGTTTAACCATATGAGAATGACAGCCATAATTCATAGGACGTCCTATGTGACAGGCCCTGTGACACACTCTTTCTTGAATTACCTCTTTTCATCTCCACAGCCACCCTGGGCAGTAGCAGAGACGTGCTTACCCCCATCGTCCCAGACTTGAAGCTCAGAGATGTCAAGTAACTTGTCTGGGGTCACATAGGAAATGGCAGAGCAGAGGTTCACAAGTCACGTCTTTCTGGTTACGAGTCCCCGCTCCTTGCAAGCAGCCTGTCTCTGGGCGGGCTTCAGAGGCTCCATGACAACCATGAAGACACATGCAAAGGAACCGTCCCAAATCAGGCACCTTGTGCCCTGTCAGAAACTTTAAAAGCCCACCGAGATGAGATTTCAGGGCCCCAGAGAGAGAAAGGGGCTGCAGAGTTTTGCCTGTGCCTTCATTCCTTATGGAGTACTGTGTCCAAGTGAGGTTTTGGTGTCACCCACACGGTTTTCAGCCCCTGATCGGAAGGTGTGAGGCTTCTCCTTCGGAAGGTCAGTGCCCTGGCACCTGTGAGCCGCCCTCCATGTCTTGGGCCGGGCGAGGGCAGAGGGCGTACCCAGGTCTGGTGGCCAGCACACTGTAGGCTCCCCAACTTCCCTTCCAGCCTTGAAAGGGGGATGTTCTGCTCTCTATTTATAACCTTTGAGAAAGCAGAAGTTGTAGCTTAAAGTGAAAATCTACTCAGCCTCCCAGGCAACTTTATTTGACCTAAGCAAGGGACAGATCTCACCTGGAAACTGTTAGGATGACATACCTTCTCTAGGCCAGAGCAGCGAGGATTTTTTTCTGCGTGGAGCAAACACAGAGCTGCGTACTAGAAAGTGTGCCGTGGTCTTTTGTTCCTTACATAGGGACTGTGGTCCTATGTTTATAAGTAGGATGTAATAATACAACATACCATCTGGAGTTAACGTGTATCATATATAGTTAATATATATTATAAATATGACTATCAGGAGGAAACAGATGCCATGAAGAGTTTAATAAAGGGACAATTTACTAAGGCTCAGGGGCAGGAGTTAGGAAGAGCAGAAATGGCTGGTGCAGGGTCCTGGGGTAATATCGGGGTGTCGGGATGGAGATGGGGCGGGGACAGGGCGGGCCTGGGGGGTGATCCTCCCTGGGCCTGCGAGGGGCAGAGGAAGAAGTAGTTATTGGCTGGGAGGAAGGTAGGGGGCGGGCTGCCCGTGAGCACCTGAGGTTGCAGTGACCTGGAAAGGTGGGGTTGGGGGGATCAACCTGGCCCTCTCCCCACTCTTGCCTTGACCAACAGGGACCCAGAGCAGGGTGCCTGCTGACGTGGTCCTGGGGAATCAGCATCCCAGGCCCGAGAGCCAGGCAGAGCAGGGGACAGTGGAGCTGGCCTAGTAAATGCAAGTGGCCAGTGCAATGCTCATATTCCCAGGAAGGAGAAGTCATGATGTTTCCACTCAGGAATTTCTAGACTGGCCTGTGGGAGTGGTTTGCCCGGTGGGAATAGGAACGTGCATTTCTCTGCATTACGGACCCGTAGCTCTCTGAGGGGACCTCGGGGTCAGGAGCCGCTGGCCTGGGTCACCCTCTTAGACCCCTCCTCACAGACGCATCCCTAAAATGAACAGACCCTTTCTCGCTGGGGACGACAGCCCCCCGCCTCCCGCGGTGCGGGGGGCCCATGGAGGCCGGCCCGTGCCTCGTTTCAGAGGAGGGTGAGGCTGGTCCCATTCCAGCTCCTGCGGCACTGACCTCAGGGGCAAAGGGGCTGTGGCAATGCAGATTCTCAGGCCGTCCTCAGTGGCTCCCACCCCCCAGGGCTGGGTGGGGGCCCAGGAATCTGTAGTTTCAGACACTCCTAGTGGTTCTGACGCACAGAGGCCACACCACGGACACTGCTGGTCAGTGGGAACCAGCTCCGTTAGCAATGAAAGGCCTTGACCACGTTCATCACTCCTCACCCCCCACACACGGTACTGAAACTGCCAGCACGATGGGGCATTTCCTGCGTGTGGGTGTGACAGGGACAGAGAGGCCAGCACGCGCATGTAAAACTGAAAAACAAAACAACCGTCCCCTGTGAACTCCGCCACGCCGTGCTCCCTCCCTCTCTCCTACGCTTTTTCCATTCAAAAAATGCTGCCCGTGGCCTTCGAAGTTGATTTCGTGAGCCGCAGTCTGAAAATCACTGAGAGAGGGGCCGGCGACGCCGTGGTTAAGAGCAGGCTCTGGAGACACCGTCTGGCCCAGATCCTCCAGACGCCGTGCAACTGTGACCAAGTCACTTCACCTGTCTGCACCTCAGTTTCCTTCTCTCCGCCCACTTCATGGTCTTGTGAGGGTTCAGTGCCATTACAATTAGGTGTTCAGGGCAGCCCTGGCATGTCCAAACAGAGGAGCGTCCGTATGGGTGGCTTTTACTGTGCGCCTGATGCTCACAGAACTTCATGTGCACTGTCTCTTTAAATCCTCACCAGGGCTTACCTGGTGGCAGACGGTGCCGGATTCCAGAGCCTGAGCTTTAAGTCAGGGCCTCCCAAGTTTGTCTGAAGGTGAAGAATCATGCACACAGCTGTTAAAATACACAGACCCCTGGGCTGCACCCTGCACGGCAGGATGGCCGGCCCCGGGGAGGGTCCGAGGAGTCTGTATTTTAGGTTATCCTTTCAGAAGACCTTGAGATCAGGTGAGTTTTGGAAACATGGGCCCAAAAGCCTGTCGGAGGCGGCCTGCCAGGCAGGACTGGGCCTGCAGGAGCGATGTCACTGGGCTGAAGGGCTGGACGGCAGGGCCCCACTAACCGCAGCCTGAATGCCAGTTTCCCACCGTTTCGGCCTCTCTGGTCTACTTGGTCTGCCACCTGCTCACCTGGCCGGTGGCATCCACTCCTGCCCCCAGGAGTAGTTCGTCTGCTTTCCCAGGCAGCAGCCCCCTCCCACCTCAGAGGCTGCTGATCGCCCCTTCCCTTTCTCTGGTTAGGTTCGTGACTTCCTGAGGATCCCAGGGGGCTTTAGCAGGCGCTCTGGGTCTGCACTTCTGAGCCGTCCCCTACGTACTGCATGACGTCAGCACCCTGGGCAGGGATGGGGGGAGTCTTCTTTTCTGGGGTGCCCGGGCCTTGCAGCATTTCTCGAAAGCAGAGATGCTGGCTCTTTGGAGATGTGTGAAGGTCTCTTTTGGGGTTTTGTTCATTTTTTTCTCTCTCATCAGCTTTGTTTTCAAATATATTTTTTTGGTGTTTTTTTTTTAGCCTGCGAGATAATAACATCTCAGACCGGGGCATCTGCAAGCTCATCGAACACGCCCTTCATTGTGAGAAGCTGCAGAAGTTAGCGTAAGTGGGCCTGGGCCCGGTGTCCCCAGCCTCACTCCGGGCCAGAACCCTGGGAGCAGCTGTGAGCAAGCGACGGGCTGGGCGGGGTATTGGCGTGGCTGCAGGGCGCAGGGCAGCTGCTGTCCTGAGCGTTTGGGTGGTCACTGTGCACTGTGCCTTGTCTCCATGTCTCCTCTCTCCCGGAACGTTCCAGTCTGTTCAACAACAAGCTGACCGATGGCTGTGCACACTCCATGGCCAGGCTGCTCGGGTGCAGGCGGAACTTCCTGGCCTTGAGGTGAGCCTCGGCTTCCGTGAACTGTTGAACTGTTTTCTTCCCCTTAGCTCAGCCGGCCCAGTCCGGTCCCTGCCCCGCTCAGCCCATTACTGGGCCTGTGATCTCCCGGCCGAACCCCTTCTGAGCAGGGTTTTGCTAATGCCGTGACCTCCCCAGCAAACTCTGGAATGGCTCTGCTGAGGGCTTCCTGCCCTTTGACCTTTAGCCCCTAGGGCTGAAGAAAGTCCTCAGGCCCTTTTCCTTCCCTGTGTCTGAAGGTCACAAGGTCTCTGGGTTACCGAGTTCCCGGCTATACGCTGAGTGTGTGCTGTGGGGGGAGGCATGCGGCGGTCATTTGCCACCACAGCCGTGGCCACCAGTTACCAAAAGCCTCAGAAGGTCTTCTCAGCGGCCCAGGGTACAGGGTTTCGCGCTTTGCTCTGGGAAGTCTGCATTTCCGCTTCCAACCCTCCTGGCTTCAGCCGAATTCTCTCTCATATTGATAAAACGCGAAATCGTCCCTCCAGCCGGTCCCCAGCTGGACCTGGCTTCTCTTTCTCTCTGGGACCTTACTGCCTCTTAGATTGACAAGGCAGAAAAGAAAACCCGGTGAAGAATGCCTGCAGCCATTCTTCCTGCCTGCTGGGCTGGGTTTGGGGGTGGGAGCCGCTGTGTTTCACGTGCTGACGACGTACCTCGGGCTCGGGCAGGCCTGCTAGGCCCATGCCAGAGCTGCCTTCTTCAGTACTGAGGACGTCTCCTGCTGCCACCACCTCCCCCACCCCCACCCCCACGCACAGACCTGAGACCCGGGCCGGCCGCACCCCAGGGACGGGGCAGCGGAAGGGAGCTGCCAGACATGGAGGCCGGGGGACTGGCTAATGGAGCATTGTGGTTGAGAGCCAGGGGATTTGAACCCAGGATCCCTGAGATTTGATCCTCATTAGCTGTGTGACCTTGGGTCAGCCCCCCGGTGTGACTCTGCTTCCCCTGCTGTAAAATGGACGTAGTAATAATCGCTCCCTCCCAGGTGTCGTGACGATGGAGTTAACGGGCATATACACAGTATACAGCAAGAGCTTTATATAGTGAGTGACAGATCGTGGGACAGTCCCCTACGTTCTCAGTGTGTTTATCTGTGTCAGTCCAGTCTCTCAAGGGGGAATTAGATGAGCAACCAGTTTAGTGGGAAAATGCCTCTGAGAGGAGCCGAGAAGGAGCTGGGAGAGGCTGGAGAGCTGACAGATGCCACCCAGTTCTGGCCCGAGGGAGGGGGCGGGAGGGGGGGACGCAGCTCAGACTCAGCGCAGCTCTGTGAGCGAGAGGAAGCCCACTGGGAGTCCTCCAGGCGAGGGCGCCCAGCAGAGGCAGCGGCTGTCTCCCCGTCTCTGGCTGGGAGCAGGCCACGGGAAGCGGGCCTTGGTGCGACGGGGTTCCCCAGCACAGAGCTGGGGCCCTGGGTTACACACCCCGGGAGGCCACCTCACCCCTTCTCGGAGCGGGTAATGAGACCTGCCCCGTGGGGGTCACTGTGAGTCAGAGCGGCTGAAGGGTATGAAAGTTCTTTGGAGATGAAAGTGTGTTATTGTTCCAGGAAGCCCGGGTTTGTGCATGAGTCCTGAGGGCCTCTCTGAAACTCTCTGAAGTGTCTGGAAGTACCGAACCCCCCTCCCCGGCCTCTGCTGGGGCCCATAGCAGGGTCCCTTGCTGCCTCCCAGCCCTGGGCCTGCCCCCCGCTCTTTGGGAGTGGACTGAATCCAGGGAGGCTGCAGGGGCCCTGGGCCTGGCCTACAGGCGCAGATGGCTAAGACTGGAAAAGGTGTGACAGTGAGTCACCTGCTCTCCTGGGAAACACCAGGACTGCTGCCTGCCGTGGCTTCTGCCCACACCTGTCACACCGCTTCGTAAAACAGTCCCTGCCTCCCCCACTCCTTTCCCTTGGCTGGCAGAAAACGAGGTTGCAGGAGCCATCGTATCAGCTCCCTGGGCTCGGAGGGCGGCAGGCGCTGGGGGACTGGCTCCGCGTCCTGCGCAGAGGTCCCCACAGCGCTTGTCCAGGTTGCTCTGTCCGGACCAGGCCTGCAGGGCACTACCCGGCCTCCTGTCCTGTGTGCTTTCCCAGCCTCTTCTGTCTTCCCTTCCAGGCTGGGGAACAACCACATCACTGCCGCAGGAGCCCAGGTGCTGGCCCAGGGGCTCAGGGCCAACGCCTCCCTCCAGTTCCTGGGGTAGGTTGGATGCTGGGACCTGGGGGCCACATGGAGGGGCATGGGGCTTGTGGGAACTTGGGGGCAGGTGCAACGCATTGGCCAGAAGGCCCAGAGGCAGTGCAGGCTCCAGTGGGCGGCCCTCGGCTGCCTCAGCACCTGCTTTTCATTAGATAAACAGGAAGCTCAGGACACCAGGGCTGGGGGAGGGCGGTGCCTGCGATTAGGTGGCAGGAAGCCCGCTGGCCCTCGTGGGTGCTAAGGCTCTGCTTCTCCCCTCTGTCTGCACGTTGGAACCACTTGGGAGCTTCTGAAGAATGCCATTGCCTGGGCCCCACCCGGACTAATTAGATGAAATATCTAGATGCAGGGCCCAGGAGTAAGCAGTTTCAGAAAGCTGCCCAGAGGACGCGTAGCCTGGCGAGGACCCAGGAACGAGGAGGAAGTGGGGAAGGCTAGCGACCAGGATGGGAGGTGGTTCCCCAGGTCCTTCCAGCTCTTGCCAGCCTCACAGGGAAGGGAGCTGAGTCAGGCACCGGCTGGGAATGCACCTCCACAGGCCCCAGGCCCCCAGCGTGGAGCTTCCTGTTTGCTGGGCGGAGTGACAGTCCCCTAGGGTTGTACCGTGCAGACCCCTGCAGCCCCCTCCTGTCCTGTCTTGCCCTATTGTAAACTGGGGTCACAGCGACAGGAATTGGGGGTCTCAGAACCCAAGACTGTAGGAGGAGAGAATAACCTTAGGGCCCAGCTGTTCCAACCCATTTCGCAGGCAGGCGTGTTGCCCACAGGCCCAGTTTGAGCCCGGAGTGGGACTGCATTGCTGGGGACACCAGCACCTCTTCTAAGCTGCATCCAAGCAGCACAGAGTCTGGAACAAGGGTGGCCACCGCCCACGAAGCTCTTTCCCGTTCGAGGTCACCTCTGGCACGTCAGGGGTGTTTATCTTTCAACACATATTTATGAAGGCTCCTATCTGGGCCAGACTCCGCGCTAAAACCCCCAGACTCTATTATATCACACAAACTGTTCGGTACCTGACACTTTCTTCTCAACACTATATCATAGGCATCTTTCCGTATCGTGCAACCTCATTAAACAATAGCCGCTTTGTCCTCCGCTGGTGAGATGCCGTCATCTCCTTCGCTGGGCTCGTGTTGGTGCCAGGGTTTTTGCTGTTGCCGTGACCTGTCCCCGGGCACGGGGCAGGGCTGGCACCCAGCCAGAGCTCAGCGAATATTTACATATGAAGGGAAATGCGGCGAACACCGTAGTTCAGCCGTCTGTGCTCTCTCGTACACAAGCGTGTCCAGGCTAATGTCCCACGGATCGAGGGATGAGCTGGGCTCCACCTTTGACGAGGGGTGTTTCCAGGTTACAGGGGCGCTGAGGAGGGTGGCCCAGAAGGCGCAGGAGTTAGACACCGTGAAGGGACGGGGGGCATTAAGAACGAGCGAGAGATGCCGAGCTGGCTTGCAGAAGGAGAGCCAGACTCATTTTGGGTGGTGCCAGAGGGTAGTTAAGGACTGGTGTGCAGTTACAGGAAGCAGGGCTGACCTGAATGTTGGGGGGAAAATGTCACCACCATGCGAATTGCCATGGGAGTGAGTTCCCTGCCCCTGTCACACTGCTTTGCACTGTGGGGGCCTCTACTGTTCTTGTAAGTCTGATTTCAAGCCGCTGAAAAATCTGAGTGAAGTTTGACCATCCCTCCAAAATCATGGAGGCAGGTCCACTGTGCAGGGACTTAGGAGCCCCACAGAGACCTGTCTGGGATCGGAGGTCCTGCCCCTCGGGCTGGGGACACGAAAAGAAGGGACATTACTGGTGCTTGTCTAGAACACACAGCAGGGACTCGCCGACACTATCTGTTGGACTTTTCAGGTTCTGGGGCAACAAGGTGGGTGACGAGGGGGCCCAGGCCTTGGCTGAAGCTGTAGGTGATCACCAGAGCTTGAAGTGGCTCAGGTAAGCTTCCCTGTCGTCCCTCAGCTGTCAAGAGGGAGCCAGGCCGAGGGGGGTGGAGCCTGGGCCAGTTTGGAAGGTCTTTGAACTTCACTTTTAACCTCTGGTTAGGCAGTGAGATGAGAGGCAGGACCCTCGAGTCTTTCCGGGTGACTTCGGAGCTGTTCCTTCTCCCCTCAAGGGCCTCGATTCCCTAGCTGTAAATCGAAGCTCTTGGGCTGAATTGAGCACATTTTACCTCCAGGACCAGCTCTCATTCGCTAATAGTAGCTGCCCTGTGTGCCACGTCGGGGGGCGGGCTGGGGGGTTCCATGGCCGCTTCGGGGGCTCAGTGGGAGAGAGCAGGGCATCGGTTAGTGATGTCTGACGAGGAGCAGCGGGCTCTGCGGCCGTGCGGGCTGCCCTTCGCGGGCGAGCTCAGCTCCGCGGTCCCTGCCCGCTCTGACTCGCCTCTGTCCCGGTCCCGTCCAGCCTGGTGGGGAACGACATCGGCAGCACAGGTGCTCGGGCCCTGGCGTCGATGCTGGAAAAGAACGTGGCCCTGGAAGAGCTCTGGTGAGTCCGGGCGCATCCGCGCTCTGGGGAGGCGGGTGACCGCCTTTCCTCCTTCCCTGGCCTCCTCCCTGGACGTGACGAAGGTGCATGAAGGGGTGGGTGCGTGAAGATGGCGTTTGCCTTTCAATGTCCTGGGTGGAGCGGAGCTTAGAGAGCCTGGGGTACAGCTGCTCATTCTCTTCGTTTAGTCGTATGTAACGGTTTGTTGGTTGGTTTGTTTACTGCCTCCATGTGGCCTAGTGGCTGAGAGCACAGACTCTAGAATCAAGTGGGTGGAGCTTCACGGCCGGCAAGTTCAATAACGGCCTCTGAACCTCAGGTTTCTTCCACATACAATGAGGGTGTGAACCTGCTCACTATGAAACACTTCTGAAGGAATTAAACCGGGTAATTTCCATAAAGAGCTGCTTGTGCGTCAGTGCTTCGTAAGTGTCGGGTTGTCATAGTGACGGTAATTGCTACTGTTGCCGCTGCTGCTAGTTAACTCCGACTGTCACCACTGCCGCCACTGTTCATCCTTTCGAAGCGCATGCGGGTCCCTGAGACCACCGGATGAGAGAGTCAGGGCCACCTTGGAAGGCGGAGTGGAGTTTGGGGCGAGCCGAAAGATAAACCACGAATCTCACAGTGTCGACGTGAAACCGAGTCCAATTTTCCATTCTTCAGATGCCACCAGTCTAGTCTTCTTATGACATGTTCTGGGCGGTTCCAGAGTATGTCAGGGAGATAAAACGCTGACTTCTTCAGGAAGCAGAAGGGCACCGATACCTCGGAACATTGTCACAAAACGGACGTCGTGGAGGGGCCTTGGCTGTTGGCGGGGTTCCCTGGCTCTGCTAGGGGACCGTTCATTAGATCCTGATTGGGTTTGACTTCTCGGAGTTTCTCGTCAGAGTGCCTCGCTCTGACTGTGTCAGTTATGACGACATTAGGTTGCAAGGGAGAGAAAATCTCTATCTACAGTGGCTTGAAGCAGTAAAGGATGTATTTTTTCACGCACAGGCATGCCGGAGGTAGGCAGCATAGGCTGGCATGGTGGCTCCACGAGGCCAGCGGGGGTCTGGACTCTGTTTCATCCCATCCCCGGGCTGTGTCTTCATCGTTATGGTCGGTTGCCTTATGATCCCAAGATGGCTGCAGCATCCAGAGCATCACTCCTATAATCCAGGCTTCAGTCTGGATACCCAGGAAGGGCAAAGGCACAGGCCAGCTGTGTCTCTCCCTTTTAGAGAGTATTCCCAGGAGCCCCATTTGTCAACTTCCCTTTGTGTGTTCACGGCCATGCGGGTGTCTCTTGGCCAACCTTGGCTGCAGCGGGAGAAAGAGTGGGAAAGTCATCTTTTCATCGAGCACGTGGCGGCCCCAAATGAAATGCGGCTTCCATTGATAAGAAAGGGAAAATGGATAGAGAGTCACTAGGGCGTGAGGGAACTTCTTATATAGTAGAGTTTTGGGGCGAATTCTCTCCCCAAAATGTCTCTGGAATGGAGACCCTCAAACCCTGCCTCATTTGTTCTTACTTTCTTTGTAAATGTGGGTTTTTAGATGTTGGATTTTCTAAAGGGGGGGCAAATAGTTTATCTTTAACATCATCTTCCATGATAAATGTTACGGTTTCAACTGGGTCTTCTCCCTTGTTCTTCGCAGCCTGGAAGAGAACCATCTCCAAGACGAAGGTGTGTGTTCTCTCGCCGAAGGACTTAAGAGAAATTCAAGTTTGAAAGTCCTGAAGTAAGGACGCAGGAAGCAGGAGCCGTAGGCTAGCGGCCAGCGTGGGGGAGGGGTGTTTCTGAATCGGAGACCCGGGCCGCTCCCCAGCCTGGCTGCCTCACACGAGGTGGCCCGGCAGAATCGGATGGCGTTGGCTGGGTTTCCCCCAAACTCGGATAGGGAGTCCGGCGCAAGTTGTTTGCTTGGGAGGTGGTCCCAGCAAACGCCGGGGAGAGAGTCGTGAAGCGAGGTGGGGAAGGAAGGTAACCGAGAAAGGCTGTGTCACTGAGCCGGTTATCACCGAGGACAACTGGGGTTTAATTCTGCCGCCACGAGGTAGCGGGGGTATTTATCCACCAGCTCCCTGTCCTTCGCATATTGAAGTGGGCTTGTGGGGATATTAATTTTCCAGCACTTCCAGCTTGCCGTGAACATGGCTAAGTGTGCTCCCTGAGGTCAGGAGCAAGGCCTCAGGCAGAGAGCTGGGGTCTTCCCAGCAAGCAGCTTTCAGAGCTGGAGGTGAAAGCCGAGGGAATAGGGGTGCGTTGCCAACAGGGTCTTCTATGGGGCAGACAGGAAGTGCCCTTCCCCCTCTCCAGGGGTCATCTCTGGCTCAGGCAAGAGAACTGGCGGTTCTCTCCAGTGGTCTCTCTTGTGAAATGCAGGCAAGCATGCTTGCTTTATTTGTGTGTGCATCCATCTATTCATCCATCTATGCATCCATGCACCCATCCATGTGTGCATCCACCCATGCATCCACACATGCATCCATCCATCCATTCATGCATCCATGCATCATGCACACATGCATGGACCCGTGCATCCATCCACCCATGTATATATTGAAATTCGAAATGTTTCTGGCACCCACTCTCTGCCAGGCATTGTCTGAGGCACTAAGGACAGAGAGGGAAAAAGGACAGGGCAGGCACCCACCTCATAGCTCTTAAGTTCTCATGGGAGAGACAGATAATGAGCACGTGAACAAATGCACGAGACCATTTCTGTGCGTCATTAGGGCTCTAAAGAGAATCTGAGAGGGTGGGGTGCTGCTGCTCGGGCGAGGCGTCTGTGACCAGGTGGTATCTGAGTGGGAACCTGAGTAACAAGAAGGTTCCTGCCATGCCTGCGGTCGACCGAACGGCAAGCGTGAGGGTCGTGCGGCAGAGACAAGCTCGGTGGCTTTGAGGCGGACCCACGCGGTGGGCTGCAGTGGGGGGCGGAGGGGAACAGAGGTGGGGGAGTGGCCCACGGGGTCTCAGAGCCATGGGGAGGACTTGGGATTTTATTCTGAGGGCACTGAGAAGCTTTTGGAGGGTTTTAATGAGCACAGTAATGTGATCTGATTTACATCATAAAAAGATCATGCTTGATTTTTCCTTTGGA